CCCACCCACCCTTCTATAACTACTTTCTAATTCTAACCAGCAGACATTTTCCTAGCACCTCACTAACAAAACATGATTGTTGTTTTTCCTGTGCATACTTGAACTACCGCTAGTCAATACATGCAGAGAAAAACAAAGTATAACCCTCTCTCTAGATAAAGAGTCCAGTTACGCCAAGAGCAAATCAGTAGGGCAAGCATATTGGCTGAATGACTTCTGGAGAACCTTATCAGTCATATCTCTATGATCAGTGTGATAATAAGTTTGGTTTTGTTGTTCATTTGTTTGTATTTGATGTAATTGGCATTTGCTAAGGCCTTGAATTTGTAGGTTAATGAACGCAGAAAATTTACTGGGTTACAAACCCAACACAGTACCAGTTCAGAACAACTGAAATAAACTGTTAGAGTAAGTTTCACATATATACAACTTAAGGCCTTGGAAAATGATATTCCAATTGAATTTAAGTTTGTAGGAACACTGTATTTCAATCCTAATGTCTTGCTAGCCAACATGGAAAACACTTGCTTAGCTTCATGTGGGATTGAGGAAGAAATGAAGAAATACATGGCTATATTAAATACAACGTCTGCTCCAAAATATTAAAACATTAATTGAACTTCTGAGAGCAAGTGCTCCAAACATCATCTCACAAGAGGAATGGATGCGGGAGTGGGAAAGGTATTGTGAACAGCACGCTTGGGTAACAATATCATCATTGGAGCTTTTGTTGACTTTTCACTGAGCCAAATTTTTTATTTCATTTACGTTGCTCTAAATCAGAACCAGCTCCACTACCTTCACAGTGCAAATTGTTGCAGAGATTAAACTGATTCCCAGAGGAACAAATCTATCTAAACAAGGTTTGGTTTAATTTATACTTTAGACACCAAACGCAAATTCTAACAGTCAGTTGTTAGGAAACCTACTGAAGAATAAATCTAACAGAGCTTGTTGCTTGGTTGGGTTTTTTGATTGTTTTTAAATAACACACCTCTAACAAAACAAGATTAGGTTTAGCCTCCATACTAAATACAGCAAACAGTGATGAAAACAGCAGGTCTGTATCTGCCTTGCACTTTCCTTGTTATCTCTATCCAGGAAATCCTCAAGATATGAATTGTGTCATTTACGCTGTAGACATTATTTCCTTTTTCCTGATGAAAGGCAAGACAAGAAAGGAGGGCAATACTGCACTTCTCCAGTAAAAAGAGTGTATCAAACCTTTCATTTTTAAAATAAAACAAGGATAGTTTTGTAGATCTGCACTGTACCTTCCAGTAAAGTACTAGAGTAGAGCCCATTTGAAACCAAGCACAACAATAAACTAGCCAACAGGCCTTTCTCTTCCCTCATTAGCACAGCTTACCACAAAAACTACTTTATATAGATGACTGTATTTTATATAGGCTCCTACATCACCCTTCATCACAGACCTGAACGCTGTATCACATTAAGGAACGTGACTAGTACCTGTAATGCTTGACATACAATTTCATTGCTAATTGTTTAAAAACTAGAGGTGCCCAGCACAGTGGTGAGTGTTACAAGCAGAGTCTCTTATCACAGTGCCACCTTTTATTAAGCTAAAACATTTCTCTCTACAGCAACACTGCTTTTCAGTTGCATATGACACTTTATCCCACTGCTAAGGCTAAAGTCTTCAAAGCTAGATGTTTTCCCACATTAAAAAATTGGGGGGTATTTTTGAGATCAAGAGTAGGATCAACTTACCCATATTAAAACAGAATTCTTAGCGTCACACGTGAAGCTCTAGCGCCGCTCATACGTGTCAGTAGGATATCACGTTTAGCAAAGCAGCTAAACTTCTGAATACTCACTCCTGATGCGATCTAAGCTCACCCCATGTGAAAGCTGTGTTTTACTTCGCCCTACATTTCCCACCCCCTCACTGCAAGACTGGCTGCGGCAGTGGTGGGAATTCAGTTTTAAGACCTTGCTGGCCAAGTTATCTTGCAATAACTTGATATCACAGAGCCTGTGCTGAGAACACCCCACTGCCTTGCACCCTCCTTCACGCCAAGTGGACTGTGTAAGCTCAGAAGGACGGCACAGGCTCTACTGAAGATGGGCTGGAGTTGCCCTGCACTAGTTCATTTGCAATTCCCAGGCCACACTGAGGCAGGAGACCAGAACCATCAATGAGAAAGGATGAGGGAGAAGTGCATGACTGCACAACCGTGACAGATGCAGAGACTATACCCTAATGTATGTGCTTAAGAAACAAATGAATTAAGGTTACATATGCAACCTTGGCATTCTTTTGGTATTCTCTAGATTTAAAGCACTGGACTTCATAAATTTGTTGTGTTCTTTTTCCAACGTAATAGTATTTTGTAACTATTCCCAAATACTGCAAGACCTTCAGCAAGTATTTGCTGAGAAGTCAAAACGGCTCATTGCCTTTTCAAGGAAATATAAATGTGTAAGAGTTAGAGGGTTTCATTGTGCTACTAAGCATGAAGTCATCGAATTTCGAATAGTGTGTTAAAGCTTTACTTCAAAAACAGGAAAAAGCGCACATGAAATTCTCTGTTTACCCTAAAATAACAACAATTAGTACTGCACATTCCTTCATGTCATCTCCCCTATATTCAAAGAAAGGATAGCAAAAACATCAATAATGGACATTCAACCAACCAACCAAAAAAAAAAAAAGAATAAAATTAATGAGTACTTGCAAATATAGAACCACTAAAACCAAGCACTAAATGCTAGTGCAAGTTAACACATTAACACTAGCAAACTGGGGGCTATTCATACAGGCACATCTTTGCCTTCACTAAAATTGTTAATGAATATCCTACTTCTGATCAGTTATCAGTTATGTTTTACAGTTTAATCAGAAACAAAAAATATTCCATCCTGTAAAACATTTGCACACACAGAACTAAGAATGCAAAAGCTGAGATGGAAGTTTATGAATGAAAAGAGATTAGGGGAAAAAAGATGACAGCAATCAAACACAACTGATTGTCTGCAGAAAGCGAAGTACCCAATTTGTAACCAAATCTTCACAGCAATTACTTCAACCGCTACCACCAAGTCACGCTGTTAGCCATCCGTATTCAAGGCAGGCGGTCCTGCAGTCTCTCTCGTTCGCATTAACTGGACATCTTTGTCAGCCATACAAGTATCACAACCCCATACTGCTGATGCTTCTGCTGTAAGAAGGCCGTAAGCTGACTCAGTCATGCCTGTACAGATCCGATGAAACCATTTTTGGCAGGAGGCTTCACACAGGATGGCATCCTGGTCATCATTAACTTCATGTGTACAGATTCCACACGGATAGACGGGTTCAGAGGACGAGTGACCATGACGACTGGGATGAAGGGGTGCTTTGCTGCTCTTTTCAGAGTTGCATCCTTCAGCAGTCCCTCGAGGCTGGCGGGACTTATTCTGAGTCCCATTTGAATGGCCAGCACTAGTGTTATCAGCACTACTAGAATGGCTATTATCCTGATTTACCACGTTGTTTCGAGTAACATTTTTTAGGTCACTGTTACCTTGGCTCACAATGTCCTCTGTCCTGTGATGATGCTGATGAGCAGCAGTGTTCTGGCTGGATGCTTTGCTTGCACCTTGACTAAAGTCTTGCTTTTGTGCTGATGATTTTGTCTGGTTGTAAGTGTTTGGTGGAGGAACAAAAGAATGGTTTGACTCTAGCTGAGAATTTGGGAAATTTGGATTGTTTCCAGGACCAAAGTTAGATGGCAGGTCAGGGTGAGGTATCTGACCAGAATGGCCAAAGTTCTCACCGGGATTAGGTCTGAAATGCTGACCAGGCATATTGATATTCTGACTTATCTGACCACTGCTGTAAGGTGGTTGATTCCCAAAACCTGGGTTATCATGAGGACCAAAGCCAAAAGAGTGGGGTCGACTAAAACCCATTCCCACAGGGTTTTGAGGAAGGGGATGTGGCTGGTTTCTGAGGGAGTAAGAACCACCATATGGCGAGGACACTCTGGGCAGCATGTGAGGTGGCATTCTGAAAGTGTTATAGCCTCCAAAGCCAGGATAACCAGGATTAGTAAAATATGGATTTCCTGAAGGAAGTGGTTTATAAGACACAGTATTATAGTTGTCATCAAATGGATTTGCAGCTACAAGGTGGTCAGAGCTTGGATTCGGCGGTGGAGCATATTCAGATGGAGGAGGAAATGATGATCCCTAAAAATATTTTAAATACAACATTTAAATTAGTTTTAGTATTTCCCTGCAAGACAGACCAACCACAGAGGTCCTGGATTAGCAGCACTACTGCTAAAAGAACCGTTCAGCTGTTGTGTAAAGCTCACCCGCTGCACCCTGCCAGGCTGTCTGAAATTTCAGTACAGAGGCAAGGAGGAGTTTGGGCTCCAGATAACATCATGATTTATAGTAATGTCAGTGTTTTAAAAATTGTGCAGTCGCACAACCACGGTTCTGCAAATACTACTTGATATGCAACTTGTATTTCTTAATCTTTTATGTAAGAAAAGCAACAATACAGAAAGCCATGTGTCACTTAAACACATGCAATTACATTTCAAACAAATATTTCCAAACGTTTAGGAGCAGATTTGAAGCATTTTCTTAATTTCAGGTTCATTTTACTGAATATACATGTCTTAAGACACCCCACTTCTATAAGGATATACAAACCTAATGTTACTATTACCCTAAAAAAGGTACATAGAATATAAGAGTCTGCATATAGGAATTTTGTATATTCTGTGTATCAAACAGGTATCCATTATGAGCATGCAGTGATTGTGGACAGGCTGCAAAGGATAGTCAGTAGGTGTAAAATACAAGAATTTCTGGTTACAGAGCTTAATCAAGTGTTTAATGGAGCCCAGAGGCTGTTTAAATGTCATCAGAGTGGCTATACAATTGAATTTCATCCTAGACTAGCCTGTGGGCAACATTAGCTGGTTCACCCTCACGCTAACTGTGCTCACAGATAACATTTCTTCCTAAACACTAATAAACTAAGACTGAAAAATTCCCCCCCCCCAAACCCTTCTGCTGTGCTTCAAATTTTGAACCTGGTAAGAAAAGAGCAGAAACTAATCCGCATGCCCAATACAGTTATCACCACTCCAGAACACAAGGAAAGCTCCACCAAGAAAGAGGTCTGAAACCCTTAAAGTAACTGAATATTCCTCAGAGCAGGTTTTGCCATGATTACTTTAAAACAAAACCGAAATTAAGAAAACGGATCCACATCTCAGTGGATCAGGATAGGCCTAACAGAAAGTGGTTCTCTGACCTACATAAATAAAATTACTCTCACTGCGCAGTACCAAATTAACAGATAGTCTCACTCAAAGCTGAATGAACACACAAAGGAAAATGCCGCACTACAGATATCTAATTGCTTCAGATGTTTTGTATTCAGGCTTCCTTTTCTGGAAATAGAAACTGTATAAAAATGCCAAATTGCAGGGATTCGCTGGAAAGAGGCCAAAATTGCCGCACAGCTTTTGCTTAAAAATCACTTGGGGAATATGCCAAGAATTTGGTCAAAGCATGAACAAACTGCACTGCTCCATTAGCCCACAAACCTACACATACAGGAATAAAAGTAAGAAGAAAAGTAGTCTCATGGCAACTACTCATGCTGTACAGACTTCTAGCAATGGCTACAGAGTCATTAAAAGAAAGTCTGTCTCAGAATGAAATCCATATGGTAAAATACACGCTGCTGCAGTCTCACTGCACTCCTCTCTTTATAGGTCTTTGGCAACCTACAGAGATTGAAAAACTTGAGTGAGAATACCTAGTGTTATGAAGATTCAACTTCACCGTACAACTGAGGTATCTGGTACGTAACTGCTATTTGTGAGAACAGACTGATATTCTGAACCATGCGAGACAGTCATACCAGCAAAGAACATCTACCCGAGTGCACTATTTATTAAGAAATCAAAAGAATCGAAGGGAATTTACCTGCGTATTTGCTTTGCGCTTTTTCTTATCAGGGCTTCCCAGTTGTACTCCTGGTCCTCCTAACCCATCCAATCCACTGTCACCACCTACAAAATTCCAATCAGTGTGATACTGCATTAGTTTTCTTACAGACTCTATTTTAAGTTTGCCTCTGACTGTCACAGCAAGAGATATCTGTTACAAATACTAAATTTGCATTAATGCTGATGCCTTTACATTGCAAGTCCTCAAGGAGCGAACACCTATAGGTAAAAGTTAGCATACCTCCTCATAAACAGCTATCGCACTCTATTACCACTTTAATGTCCAATTCATGCTCACTGCTGTTGGAATAAACATTCCCATTCATTTTATGTTAATCTGTCCCATGGTTCTTAACGTCTCCAGTTCACCAGTTCTAAGTATTTCTTGTTTGCATAATGCATAAAACTCTCAAAAGAACTGCTTAAAGCCATACCTAAGATTCACCTCCCAGATAACTTGAACAAAGCACTTCTCAAACCCACTGTACCCATACACAACGGTAAGTTACTGTATGCCATAAAGGAAAAAGCAAACAGTGTGAATGAAAACAGCTATGAATGAAAACCCCTGAAAACCTGCCACGTTGTTTAGACAGATCTCCAGTTTATCTGCTGTAAATTTAGCTAAATGCAAGACAAAAGACACCTGCCAAAAGTAAGAGTGGCTCAAGCGAACCTGCCCTACCCGGCAGAAACCTCATGGAATAATTGAGCACGGCTGCTCTGTTACAAAAAGAAGCAAAGAATGTTCATTTTATTGATCTCTCAGTCCGACTTGACTGTGAGCAATACAAAGAGGTATCTGTACTTCACCTGGGATTCTTCGCCTTTCATAACAGTGGGACAGCTCCCAAAGCTGTTTAAGTCATGGCTCTCATTTTTAAAACCCTAGTTAGACCATGGGGGATGAAGGAAAGATTCTAGCACATTCCTTATTATCCCAGTCAGTCTGCCTTCATGGGGCTCAAGTGGATCTGCCATCATACAGGAATGCACAGAAAACCCTGAGTATGAAAATCACTTCTGGGTGATACGAGAGCAACACATTAAGATACTAACATCATAACATTAAGAAACTGGATGTTAACTCACTTTTTCCCAAGCCCTTTAAGATAATAGCACACTTCCTGTTTAATACATATATATATTAACAGTATAGAGCAGTAACAAGTGGGCAATCCAACCTGAAAATTTTACTGTTGTTTAAAACTCGTATTCTGAATACACGTGAAACATTATCAAGATGCAAGCCCAGAGCTGAACACACGGGTTTGTCTTTATTAGCAGAGGCAACCTGAGGATAACTGTGAATTCTTAACAGTATTATGCAGAGAAGCATACGGTGTGACATTACACGGCTCCGCGTTAGGCAAGTATTCCCAGCAGACAGCTAAACCAGCTGCACACCTATTCAGCGGGGTAACACAAAGTCTCTTCTCACAGCTTCACTCATGCTTCAACACAGCGTATCACGGTAGAATCTACCATCAGAATAACTAGGGATTACTCTCTTTTAAAGAGCCCTTTTGGCCTTGACTTAGCATAAAAAATCCTGCACAGACTTAGTGTGCTATGAAACACTGCCACTGCATTAACTAAATAATCACAGCATAAAGTTTTACACAAAGAATGGTGACAAATGGGCCTTAAATTCCAAGTCTATAAATCATCTTCTTGATAAACTGTTTGCTCAGACCTGCCCTTGCACCTTCCACTAGTTTATTCTCCACCATTCCTATAGGTTTACCGTAAATTTAGCAATTGTGCTGTGAACAGCATTCCTTGCAACTGCACAAAACACACGAACTAATGATGTTAACCACTGACAGCAGAATATTAAATATCCAGATTTCTTTTCTTTTCTAAATGCAACAGCTAACAGCACAGATAGTAGTAAATCTGTGATCAAGTAGGATGCTGAGGGTCCTATGCAAGTACTGTTTTACAGTAGCATAAGTTAAAACTATAAAAATTCCCTCTCTGGCATATCATTCTTCAAAAACATAAGCATGTGGACATTAGAATTCCAGGGACAACTTCCACCAATTTCCACATGAATTACTTACGTGGGTGAAGCCACTCACATGCCTAGGTTTGCAGGACTGAGTCCCACAGCTGGAAAGGGACAAAGCTTTTGTATTTTCAGTGCTCACCGTGTGAGGCCAATGATTGAATTTAGCCCTACGAATTTATATTTTCCCTGTGGATTTTATAATGATTTAATTTATACATGAAAGGAAACAGAATGTTAGTCCTAGCATACCTCCAAAAAAGACTGAATAAGGGTCATTTTCATGCAGCCAAAATAAACTTTCCAGAAAGTCACTTCTGGTACCTACCACACAGACTTGCCTTAAAAGGTGTACCGAACAGTTTGGAACGTTGCACTGAAGGTGCAAAAAATTATTTCCTTGTCTGAGACTAATTTTCCAGGAAAAATTACAACCCTTTTGACTGGGACATCACATATGTAATGGATCTAGAGATATAAATACATATCTGATAACTATTCCCTTATTAAATAACAGATAAAACGCGGCCATTTACATTTGGGAAAAGGAGAAGAGAGAGAGAAATCCCATATTCTTTTCTACTTCATGCACACACAAGTGTGTGTTACATCAGGGGAACTGCAACTTGCAGTTTTACGTACCTATTAGGAGATTACGACTTTGCACGTAATTTATGCCATACTTATACTGCAAACACACTATCGGGTATTTTCACACTCACTGACAAATCCCTGTCTAGGTTTTTACAGGATCGATGCCAGATTCTTTTTAAACAGTGCTTTATCTCTGTAAGATACGTTTTCCGAAGAAATGCAAATGGCCAAATAAACTTTTCATTCCAGACAGAAAACTAAAAAGAGCCTAATTTCAACTAGATTTGGTGAGCCTATTCTGTGGCCCTGAAACAGTTTTGATATTAAGTGGTAATCGCATGGAACTCGCTGGGTAACTCAGGCACGTGAACTGTACGTGCTTAAATATTTGCAGAATCAGGGCTTGAGAATGAAGGGGCCTAATGAGTCCCAGTCTCCTTTGTAACGCTGCTGCGTATTTTCATCCTCTCATTCGCAAGGTTGCAATCCAGCTGTTACTGGAACAGTTTTAGAAGAGCAAACTGAAAATCAATGGCAATATGCACAGCAGAATCCACACCTCTCCCCACTTACCCCAAAAAAAAAAAAGCTTAAAACACGAAGAACAATAGAATTCATGGGGCAAAACAGGAGGCGAAGAAAAGAGAAGCAATAAACTGCCGATCTTAGCATTTTGCCGTGATTTTCACCCAACTCAGTCTCTCGTGATTTCATTCAGAAGGGCATTTCTGGTTTAAGGACCATAGGGGCACGACTACCGCTGCGCAGACCGATGTGCTCCTGCCATTCAAGTCAGTCGCACAGCCCAAGTCGGAGGAGACGCTGCATTTCTACCCTTCTCCTTACACGTTTCAAAGAAAAGCGTACTTCAGACCTCGCTACAGCCGTGCAACAGTGCTGCTGATGGAGAATAACGTCTCGATACATTTCATCTCCCGACAAGACAAAACCACAACCCCAACCAGAACCAAGCGCAAGAGCCAGGGGTGGACGAGCGAACCCTCAAGCGTAATTTACGGGCTCTGCATCAACACTAACTCGGACATGTGGCACTGCCGACGTATTCCCTTGCACCAACAGCATGCACGCTGCATACTAATGGGCACCACAGCCCGAACAACACAACGGCCACGGCCAC